GGAAGCTCTCTCTGATGTCCCGTCAAGGACTTGGTCTTTCCAAGTGTTTCGTGTTGCCAAAAATCCTTCGACTCCATCCATTCTTGCCACGGCTGAGGCCGAGAGCTTGGAAAATAATGAATCAATGCCCGGAAACGTGAATCGACGGAAAATTTATGACACACTTATAATGTAATGTCTTTTGGGTTCCCCTGCTTTTGAAGCATCAGCACCAAAGGTTTTGGCGTCTCCTCCTTCCCCTCTGCAGCAAGGAGGATTTAGGGAGAAAGGATAAAGCTCCCCTTCCCCTCCCTCGTCTCACTTTAAGGAGTCAGTGGATGGTGGAAAGAAGTCGGAAAAAAATCAGGACAATCTGCTGGAAAAATTGGAAATGGGGGTGAGGAATGAGAGCAATGGGAAAGAGTGAGAGTGTGGAAAAGTGAAGGGTGTTGGAGAACCCCAAGTGCTGCGTTTTGGTGGGCAAAAAATATCCCTGGGGCTGGAGTCGCCAGGTTTTGATTTATCAGGAAAAGGCAGTGGAAACACGGACACTTGGGAGTTTGGACACTTGGAAGGAAGGAAACTCCACCTGGAAGGGAGACTCGATTGGTTTGGTTGGTTTTTTGCTGAGCAGTGAGGGCGGTAAAGCCTTGGAAGGGTTTCCTGAGGGAAAACCTGAGGGTGGATTTGTTGGATTTTGGCCCCCTCGGAAAGACGGGAGGCACGAGGAGCTCGTGGAGGGTTTTGGGAATCAGGTATCCACCTGCTCCTCCCCAGACCAAGTGGTAGGAGTTGGCTGTGCTGCTGCTTTGTTGTTTTTCCTTAAGATTTCCAAGTCTTTGGGACATGGGGCGGGTTTTCCTCTGCCTGGGAAGCGGCGAGGGATGAGAGAGGGGCAGGTGATGCCAGAGGAGGTTCAGGAGATTCCTGAGGGAGTGGTTTTTCAGTGGCTCCCGCCAAACAGGGCAGGTTTTGGGGCTGTCCAGCCAGGAAGGGTCTCCTGTAGGATCGAGTTTCCCTCTTGGCAGCAGGCACGGCACGATCACGTCCGTGGATTATCAGGAGAAGGCAGGAAAACAGGGAGCTTGTGGGCTGTTCTCCAGGAGAAAAGCTGAGCTCAAACTTTGGCCTTTCATCAAGATCCCTGGGTCCCTCCCTGGGATCATGGGGCTGTGAGTGCCCAGACACGCCAGGATTCAGCCCAAAAGCACCCTGTGGATCACAGGTGGTGTAACTGAGCCCTTGGAGCCCCTTCCAGTGCCCAAAGGGGCTCCAGGACAGCTGGAGAGGGACTTGGGACAAGGGATGGAGGGACAGGACACAGGGAATGGCTTCAAGCTGAAAGAGGGGAAATTAAGGTGGGATATTGGGAAGGAATTCCTCCCTGGGAGGGTGGGGAGGCCCTGGCATGGGTTGCCCAGAGAAGCTGTGGCTGCCCCATCCCTGGAAGTGTCCAAAGCCAGGTGGGACAAGGCTGAGCTTTGCAGTCTGGGGCTTTTTAGAGCGAGAGAAACCCGGCGGCAAAGCCCGGAATGACTCCGCTGTTGTTGTTTTGCGCGTTGGAACCGGGATTTTAAAGTCTTTCGAAAGGTCACAGGCGAGTGGGTGGGGGCCAGAATTCCTGGCTGCCGGAACAGGAGGCCTTTTTTTTTTATGGGACGTGCAGCGAGGCTGAAACCTCTCTCCTAAAATTTTATGGCCTTGCAACGAGCCAGAGGCCCTTTCCCAGGTGGCCGGATCGAGTGTCACCGGCTCTGCTCCGTCACAGCCCGTTCCTGCCCGGGGGGCAAAGGGGGCTGAGCCCCCCCAGGCCACGAAGGTTGAGCTCAGGGGGGTTTTGTGTGACCCCATTTCTGGTTGCTCACCGTGGAATTCACCTCCTAAAAGGCCCCGAACCGGCTGCTGGAAGCTCTTTGTCCCCCTGGAGAGCCAATGGCTCCCGTCTGACCCCATGTGGGGTCCCTTCCTCAGCTCCCAAACCTTCTCCTTCCCCCGAGGCTGCTGCTCCTTCACAAATCCTTCATTTCTCTGAGTTTTGCCACCTGTCCAAGGACCAAGTGCAGCTCTCTTGGTCCTTCACCCTTTAGCCCCAGTCCTGGGAACTGTTTGATGAGTTCTCAGTGCCCCTTCCCTACTCCTGCTCTTGTTTGCCAAGGAGAAATCGGGATTTAAGGGGCCTGATTATCGTGGAGTCATGGAATGGTTTGGGTTGGAAAGGACCTTGACTATCATCCAGTTCTACCCCCTGCCATGGACAGGGACACCTTCTACTATCCTGGGTTGCTCCAAGCTCATCCAACCTGGCCTTGGACACTTCCAGGGATGGGGAATCCACAGTTCTCTGGGCCACCTGTGCCAGGGCCTCCCCACCCTCCCAGGGAGGAATTCCATCCCAATATCCCACCTAACCCTGCCCTTTTCCTGTTGGAAGCCTTTTCCCCCTTGTCCCATCACCATTCCCACTATGTCCTATCATGATGATGAACGTAGGTATGAACACATCCAACATCCTCCATCACATTCCAACATCCTCCATCATCCTCCAACATTCCCCATCATCCTCCAACATCCTCCATCATCCTCCATCATCCTCCAACATCCTTCAGCATCCTCCAACATCTTCCAACATCCTCCATCATCCTCCAGCATCCTCCAGCATCCTCCAGCATCTTCCAGCATCTTCCAGCATCCTCCAGCATCCTCCACTGTCCTCATCATCATCCTCCACCATTCTCCATCATCCTTCATCATCCTCCACCATCCTCATCATCCTCCCCCAACATCCTCCATTATCCTACAACATCTTCCATCATCCTCCAACATCCTTCATCATCCTCCATCATCCTCATCATCATTCCCCATCATCCCCCATCATCCCCCATCGTCCTCCAACACCCTCCATCACTCTCCTGCAGGATGGGGAGCCCAGCTCTTCCTTGTCTCCATGGGATGGGGATCAGCAGCAGGCAGGGCTGGTGCCATCCCCCTCTGGTGCTCCCAGTGCTCCCACCACCCTCTCCCACCTCCCATCCCACTCCAGTGCTTATCACCGCGGTGTCTCGGGCCCGTTGGGATTCCATCCTCTTTCCTCCTTATATGGCCAAACTATTCTTTTTCCTATCTTGGCGTTGTTTATAGCCCAGCTGAAAATATTTAGGCTCTGGCTGGATTCTACAATTGCCCCGTAACCCACGGGGTATCTGATTCCTGGTAGTTAACATGGAATTATCTGCATCCCATAAAACCGAGGGATGTGGCCATGAGGAGGGTGTTTGTTTTCTGCAACAAAAATGAGAGCAAACGTGCCAAATCCCAAATTAAAACAAACATTTCCCCCCCTCCAGTAAATTATATTTGACCAATATTGTGAAATTGAGATTGCTGGGGTTTTTTTCCCTTTCTCCTTTTTTTTCCCCCTTTCTCTCTTTCTCTCTCTCCCTTTTTTTTTTTTTTTTATTACCCCCCCTGGAAAATTTTATTTGCAAAGAAAAAAATATTTGGAGTTTGAAACAAAAAAAAAAATAGGGGGCAGGAGGCAGCTGGGAGTCCGTGCTGCTTCCCAGAACCTGGTTTTGATGGGATTTCATGGCTCAGAGCCCAGGGATGGGAGCACAGACCCCGTTCCCCCACTGCAGGGTCAGTGGGAAAATCCCACCAGATCCAACCTGCTCGGGATGGAGATCATGGAATGGTGGAAGGGGAGAGCCCAACTGGCCTTGAGGGACGTGCCAGAGGGATTTGGGGTGGGATTTGTGCTTTGGGAAGCTGCTGGGCTGTGGCTCTGGGTGATTAGCACGGCCGAGGGTCCCGGTCCCACTGCTGGGATGCTCCAGCCCCCCTGGTCATTTTTCCTGAGGTTTCCATGTTTTTGGCTGGTTTTGGTGGAGCTGCCATGTCGGTGCTGCTGGTGAGGAGGGGTTTGGGCTCTGGTTGCCCCTCTGGGTAAGGGGATGGCAGGAGGGGATTCCTGGTGCTTGTGGAAGGACTGGGACACCAACCACACCAGAGCGGGGTGAAGGAGGGTGAGATGGAGCCGGGGGCTCCTCCCAGGGGAACTTCCCTGCAGAAAAGCCCTCACAGGCTGGGGTGGCATCAGTTTGCCTGTCCTTTCCCACTGTGATACCGGCCCCCGGTGTGAGGAAACCTGGATGGAGGGAGGGGAGGTGGGAACCCAGCTGTGTGTGGTGGGAGGGGCTGGGTGAGGCCACCACCTCGTCCCCATTGGTGCCACATTGTGCCCCTTGCCATTGCCTTGTCCACATTGGTGCCACCTTGACCCTATTGCCATCACCTTGAACCTGTTTCCGTCACTTTGACCCCAATTCCATCACCTTGACCCCATTTCCATCTCTTAACTCTGTTGCTGGCACCTTGACCCTATTGCTGGCACCCTGACCCTATTGCCATCACCCTGACCCCAATTCCATCAACTTGACCCCATTTCCATGACCTTGTCCCTATTGCCATTACCTTGACCCCAATTCCATCGTGTTGGCCCCATTTCCATCACCTTGCCCCCACTGGTGCCACCTTTTCCCCATCTCCATCCCCTTTTCCCCATTTCCATCCCCTTCTTCCCATTTCCATCCCCTCATCCCCATTGGTGCCACCTCACCCCCATCTCCATCCCCTTGTCCCCATCTCCATCTCCTTTTCCCCATTGGTGCCACCTCATCCCCATTTCCATCCCCTTCTCCCCATTTCCATCCCCCTGTCCCCACTGGTGCCCCCTCATCCCCTTTGCCACCACCACCCCCCAGACCTCCCTCGCCCACCACAGCCAGTGTTCCGACACATCCCTGGGCTCCTCCGTGCCTCCATTTCCCTCTCCCAACACCGGCCCAGCCTCGGGGAAGGAGCCAGAGCTGAGGGGACGCCGGTGATCCCACAGGACACGGAGAAGGGGGGCAGGGAATTGGGGCAGGGGGACAGGGAACTGGGGGGGGGACACGAGGGCTGCATAACAAGGATTTTTTGTTTGGCCTGTTTTGCAGAGCTCCAATGTCCTGACTCGCTCTAAGATGAGGGTATGGAAGTTCGCAGCCATCGCATCGATGCTCCTCAGCTCCATGTTGTCCATCTTAGTTTGTAGGGACATGTTCAGCAGAAACCGGGAACGCGGCCCCTTGTCTTCCTCGCCGTCTTCCTCACGGGCATCCTCCTCCTCCTCCTCCTCCTCCTCCTTCTCCTCCTCCTCCTTCTTCTCCTCCTCCTCCTCGCTGCCAGCAGCTCCACGGAGATCCCCACGGGCCCTGCAACGCCACGGCTCTCTGCTCTCCCAGTGTAAGCTCCTGCAGCCCCGTCCCGGGCTCACTGCCCCCCCTGATCCCACACTTTTCCCTCAAAACCCCCGTTGGGTTATTCCCCAAACATCCCCTTTGCCAGGATTTAGATCCTTAAAAAGGATTTATTTAATTTTGGGGCAACAGGACACCAAACCCTGGTGTGAACAGCCCTGCACGGAGGGGAACCCAAACAGCTCATCTTGCTGCAGAGAAGCTGCTTTTGTTTTTTTTTTACTTTTTTCTTTTTTACTTTTTTTGGCTCCAAATGGCTTTTTTTGGGAAATTCTTTTTTTTATTATTATTATTATTATTATTATTATTTCCGTGCTATTTTTTACAAATGGAAAATGTCAAACAGGAGCTGAGGACGAGGGGACTGGCAGCGGCTCCCCCTCCTCTCCCTGAGGGGGCTGGAAACCTCCACGTGTTTGTTTGGATTCCAAAACCAGAGGAACAGCTTTTTTTTTGGGAGGTGGAAATTTGGAAATCGATGACAAGCTGTCAAGTCGTGTTTTCCTCTGCCTTCCCTGCACCTCCTGCAGAGCTGAGCTGGATTGAAGCCTGGATTTAGGGTTGGGACAAAGGGCTGTGGGTGTTGCCAGCAGTGACTGGGGACAGTTTGTGTGTTGGCTGCTGGTCTTGGGGTTTTGGGGGGCAGCTCTTCCCCTACCCCAGGCCAGAGTGAAATGGTTCAAATGTGAAATTTAGTGGTGTTTGTCCCCAAATCCACCTGCCCCAAGGGATCTCCATCCTTGGGGATGTCCTCCCAGTCCCAGGGAATTTCCACCTTGGGGGATGTCCTCCCACTCCAAGGAACCTTTATCCTGGGGGATGTTGTCCCATCTCAGGGGATCTCCATCCTGAGGGACATCCATCCACCCCAGGGGAGCTCCATCCTAGGGAATGTCCACCCACCCCAGGGAATCTCCACCCCAGAGAATCCTGAGATCCTCATCCGTGGAGGATCCTGCCATCTCAGACAGCCCCTCATCCTGGGGGCATCCTCCCAGCTCCAAGGACATCCTCCCACCCCAGGAAATCTCCATCCTGGGGGACATCCATCCATCCATCCCAAAGGACCTCCACCCTGGAGGATCCTGAGATCCTCATCCCTAGAGGATCCTCCCATCTCAGGTGACCTCCATCCTGCGGGACATCCACCCACCCCAAGGCACCTCCATCCAGGGATGGATCCTCATCCCTAGAGGATCCTCCCAACTCAGGTCACCTCTATCCTGTAGGACATCCTCATCCCTAAAGGATCCTCCCATCTCAGGTNTCATCCCTAGAGGATCCTCCCATCTCAGGTGACCTCCATCCTGCGGGACATCCACCCACCCCAAGGCACCTCCATCCAGGGATGGATCCTCATCCGAGGGACATCCACCCACCCCATGGCACCTCCATCCAGGGATGGATCCTCATCCCTAAAGGATCCTCCCATCTCAGGTGACCTCCATCCTGAGGGACATCCACCCACCTCAAGGCCCCTCCATCCACAGGGAGGGTCACCCTCCCACCCCAAAAAACCTCCATCCTGGGGTACATCCATCCATCCATCCACCCCAAAGTACCTCCACCCTGGAGGATCCTGAGATCCTCATCCCTAGAGGATCCTCCCATCTCAGGTCACCTCCATCCTGAGGGACATCCACCCACCTCAAGGCCCCTCCATCCACAGGGAGGGTCACCCTCCCGTCCCAGAAAACCCCCATCCAACACCCAACACCCAACACCCACCCCTCCAGGGGCATCCCCCCACCCTCTAACCCCTCTCCCTTCCCTTGCAGACAGCAGCCTGCTGGAGAGCTACACCGAGGGCGAGATCCGCCAGCTCGTCTCGGCGCTGGTGGAGCGCTACAGCCAGGCCATGAACTCGGGGGGCCACGAGCTGCCGCTCTTCCCGCGGGCCGGCAGCCGCCGCAAGCGCGCCCGCGCCCGCCACAAACCCTGCGAGCTGCGGGAGCTGGAGGTGAGCGTCAGCGAGCTGGGCCTGGGCTACGAGTCGGACGAGACGGTGCTTTTCCGCTACTGCAGCGGCACCTGCGAGGCCGCCGTGCGCAGCTACGACCTGTCGCTGAAGAGCATGAGGAGCCGGCGCAGGATCCGCCGGGAGAAGGTGAGGGCCCGGCCCTGCTGTCGCCCGCTGGCCTACGACGACGACGTGTCCTTCCTGGACGCCTACAACCGCTACTACACCGTCAACGAGCTCTCGGCCAAGGCGTGCGGCTGCGTGTGACGCGCCGGGGGTGTCCCCACGCGAGGGGAGAGGGAGGGAAGAGGCGACGCCCCAGCGCCCGAACCTCGCCGGGCCCACCAGGATGGAGCCCGGAGCGGCTGGAGGAGGAGGAGGAGGGACTGAGCCGCTGGCACATCCCGAGGACTTAGAGACACGGAGGTTGTCGGAGCGGTGACGGCTGCCTGGGGCTGTTGTGCCCCCCTTGGAGGTGGCCCAGGGGTCCTTGTGAGCCCCTCCAGGGGTGGCTCAGGGGTCCCTGTTGCCCCCCTCCCAGAGGTGACGGCGGGTGTGTGGCGTGCACAGGACACGTCCTACGCTCGGCATTAAATGTCACCCGTGTCACACCCACCTGGGGGTGGAGGTGTCACAAGGTGGGTGTCCCCTGCACGGGGGGGTCCCCACGTGCCAGGGGTTCTGTGTGGGGCACGTGGCACACACCGGTGCTGTGATGGTGAGCAGGGGTTGGTGTGGGGGTGTTGCTGCACGTGGAGTGGTGCCGGTGGTGTGTGGGGCTGGACAGGGTGTGCTGAACACACAGGGTGTTTTGGGGTGTCCAGCACACATGCTGTGTGTTTTAGGGGGTGCAGCACACACACAGTGAGTGTTTTGGGGTGTCCAGCAGAGAGAGCGAGTGTTTTGGGGTGTGCTGAACACTCAGTGTGTTTTGGGGTGTGCTGAACACACAGGGTGTTTTGGGGTGTCCAGCACACACGCTGTGTGTTTTAGGGTGTGCAGCACTCACAGTGAGTGTTTTTGGGTGTCCAGCACACACAGAGTGTGTTTTGGGGTGTGCTGAACACACAGAGTGTGTTATAGGGTGTGCTGTTAGAGGGTGTGTGTTTTGGGGTGTCCAGCACCGACAGCAAATGTTTTGGGGTGTGCAGTACACACAGTGTGTTTTGAGGTGTCCAGCACACACAGTGTGTTTTGGGGTGTGCTGAACACACAGGGTGTGTTATAGGGTGTGCTGTTATAGGGTGTGTGTTTTGGGGGGTGCAGCACACACAGTGTGTGTTTTAGGGGGTGCAGCATACACAGTGTTTTGGGGTGTCCAGCACACACAGTGAGTGTTTTGGGGTGTGCTGCACACACAGAGAGTGTTTTGGGGTGCATTCCAGGTGTGTCACACAGCTGCAGGTGCCCTGTGCCACCCTGGCTCAGGGGCTGAGCCCTGCACTTTGCATCTGGGGTGGGTCCCCAGAGTTTTGTGACCTCCCTTCTGTGCCAGGGGCAATTCAGCCCCCAAATCCCCCTGTTTGGGGGTACAAAGGCACGGGCAGTGGTTTGTGAGAGGCTCTGGCTCCGCTCCCTGCTCGTGCCCCTTTTGCCATCGTCTCATTCCCGCAGCCCCCGGGGCTTTGCTTCTTAAAACTCGGGATAATCTGAATAACTGGATTAACCTCCCGTGCCCCCGCCACGGGCAGCTGGGCCGGAGCCCAGGGAGGTGACATGACCTCCCCGGGGCCACCAGCAGAGCGGTGGCACTTCCCGGCGTGGGCTGGAGCGTTCCTGGTTTGGTGTCTCCCAAAAATCCACTCTCAGCTCTTCCCAGGAGCATCCCCCCAGCACCCGGAATGGTGCAGGAGAAGGGATTGGGGCCTGGCTTTGGCTCCCCTCGCATTTACAGCACTGTCACTGCTGTTTACTCTGCGGGGAGATAAACGAGCCCGCAGACTTTCCCGTTCCCTGGGCAGGCTCGATTTGTTGCCTGGGATTGATGGTTTTTTTTTTCCTTCTCCCCTTGGCTCCCTTCCCAGAAAAAGCAAATCATAAACAGAAGGAGAATATTGGTGTCATGTCCTGGGCATTAACCAACGCCAGGGAAAACGCTCCGTGTGCAGCCCTCCTCTGTCACGGAGTCATCCCAGCTCCGGAGAAACAGGGGGGAAAATTCCATGTACCTTCATCCCCAGGTGGAGGAAGGCTTTGTGTCGGTGATCCCGGCAGCCCGGGGACGGTGCTGCAGGATTTGGGGCAGCAGGGGAAGCATCCCGAGGATGGGATGAGATGGGATGGGAGAGCTGTGTGTGACTGGCCTCATTCCCGACCTCCACAAAGGGGCAGGATTTAGGGGATCAGGTTGGCATCCCCTGGGATGGGATGGGATGGGATGGGATGGGATGGGATGGGATGGGATGGGATGGGATGGGAAGAAGCATCTCCTGCGTGCGAGCAGCCGCATTCCCGACCTCCACAACGGGCCAGGCTGGTGGGTCTATTTTTTTTTTCCCTTGCTTTTCATCCCAGCGTGGCTCTTGGCTGAGCGGAGCCAGGATGCAGTGAGGGAATATAAACACCATCCTTCAGCAGGGCTGGCAGCCTGCACTCTGTAACACCGAGTTTTCCCTGCACTTTGGGAAAAGGAGGAGGCAGCTGAGGGGGTGTGGGAGGGGTGAACCCCCCCTCCTGGGGTGAACCTGCATCCCGGGAATGGGAATGTGGCTGGAAAATGGATAAACCCCACACTGCAGGGGCAGGGAGATCCCCAGCCGAGGTGTGTTTGTTTGCACCCCTGGGTTTGGCTGGAAATGGGAAAAGTGGCACAAAATAATCAGCTGGGGGATGGGAAGAGCAGCAGGGCAGCAGGAGCAGCTCCAGGCTCACGGAGGATCAGCGGCTCAGTCCGGACTTTGAGGAAAAAAAAGCACCCAAATCTAATAATAACAACAATAATAATAATAATAACGGGCCTCTCAAGGGCTTGGGTGCTTTCCAGGTCTCGCTGCCATAAAACTAAAATTAGTTTTGTTGCAGAAGCCTCCAGTAAAAAAAAAAAATAAAACAAAAAAAAAAGGGAACCGGAGCAATAAAGGCAGGGAAGGTGTTGTGGAAGCAGAGCAGGACCCGACACCTCTGAGGAGGATTTGGAGCAGGAGCTGCCTCTGCTCGCAGGACCCTGTGCCCAAGGGAGTGCTGGAGCGTTTGCACCCTGGTTTGGGACATTTTGGGGCAGAATTTAGGGATTTAGGGAGCCTTGCTTGGCAGGCACCCAGCCAAGGGCCCCTCCTCTCGCCAGGATGGTGGTGGGAGCAGCAGGAAGACGAGGGGACACGGGAGCAGGTGGAGAAGGCTCAGGGTGGGACATCTCCCAGCTGTCAACCCCCCCCAGGTGCCCCATTCCCAGAAAAAACCCAGCTTGGAACCCCCAAAAGTTGGGAAGAAAAGCTGACTCAATGCAAGGGTGTGTTAAACCAACAGGAATAGCTCCAATCCATCATTTTTTGCTGGATTTCACCCTGCTGGCACCAGAGGGGACGTCCCCCCCTCTGCCACACGCTGCTCCTGAGGCTTTTTTTTGGGGGGGAGCAGCTGGGATTTGGAACCACAAAAAAAAATCCCTGATGGGCTCTTGGGGTGAGCTGGGGCACCGTGGGGTGGCCAAAAGGATGGATTCTCCTTCCGTGTCTTCCTCGGGGCTCCTCTGGCTCCGCCGGTGCCATCCCACGTCACTGCTGGGCCCTGGAAATGTGGTTCCAATAGGATTTTCCCTAATGCTTTCCATTTCTCCAGCCCTCTCTGCTGTAATAGGAGCTGGAGCTGTCCAGAAGAATGCCTACAATGCAGAAAGGGGGGAAAAAAAAAGATGGAAAAATTCCCTCCTCAAAGCTGGAGCAGGATCTCATCCGGCTCCTTCCTCCTCCTCCCACGTGTTAGGTCATATTAATATTAATATTAATATTAATAATAATAACAACCCGTGTGCAACATCTGTCAGGGAGGATTTGGGGGTTGGCTTTGGCCTCTCTGGAGCTGCAGCTTTGCTGTTCCCAGCCCGGGAGAGGAGGGGTTGGGAAAAGGGGAGGTTTGGAAACACGAGGAGATGTTTAAAATGGTGTGACAGAGGCGAGGATGAGTGGGGGGCTCTCCCAGCTCCAGGATCCCGCTGGGGAGGAGTTGTTTTCCCAGTTTATCCAGGGGAATTGTGTTTAAAGCCGTGGTTTTCTTCCCATTGGAAAGAGGGAATGGTTTTGGGAAGAGGGAATGGGGTTGGAAAGAGGGAATGGGGATGCCATGTGTTTCCCTCCTGGGCTTGGAGGGGAGGGGGGAGAAAAAGGGGGGAAAGGGAAATAAAAGGAAAAGAAGGATAAAAAGAGGGGAAGAGGAAAGGGAAAAAGGAAATGAAATGAAAGGAAGGAAAGAGGGGAAGAAAAAAGGGTGAAAAGGGGAAAGGAAGTGGGAAAATAGGAAATTAAAGGAAGGAAAAGGGGAAAGAAAAATGGGGTAAAGGGAAAAAGGAGAGAGGGGAAAAGAGGGAAAAGGGAAAAAAGGAAATGGAATGAAAGGAAGGAAAGGGGGGAAGAAAAAAGGGGGAAAGGGAAAAAGGAGAGAGGGGAAAAGAGGGAAAAGGGAAAAAAGGAAATGGAATGAAAGGAAGGAAAGGGGGCAAGGAAAAAGGGGGAAAAGGGAAAAGGAAGTGGGAAAATAGGAAATTAAAGGAAGGAAAGGGGGAAAGAAAAATGGGGTAAAGGGGAAAAGGGAAAAAGGAGAGAG